CAAGACATACTTAGAAACGTTGAAATGGGAAGTCCTATCTCACCCGCCGTATTCTCCAGACGTTGCTCCCTCTGCTACTCACTTGTTTCGATCAATGGCACACGGCCTGGCTGACCAGCACTTCCGGTCTTATGAAGAAGTAAAAAATTGGATCGATAGCCTATTATCGATATTTGTGAATAGCCTCAAAAGATGACCAGTTTTTTCGACGCGGGATTCGTACGCTACCCGAAAGATGGGAGAAAGTAGTGGCCAGCGATGGACAATACTTTGAATCATAAATAACCAGTTTTTTACAATAAAGTCTCGAATTTCGGAAAAAAAACGGCGGAAACAAAGTTGTACACCTAATAAGACAAAAAGAAATTTTGGATTTGAAATCAAAATTACTCTATCAACTAATCCCCGTGACAATATCTCTCTTTTAAGAAATCGGGAGTATGAAATAAAAAATTCAAATATTTACTCGAAAATGTTGGTTTGATATCTATTAAATTCAATTATATCATTAATGACAATTAAGATAACAGCTAAAAAATTCAATCTCCTCCGATCTCCATGATAAACTGAATACTTAAATGCTGAGAATTAAAAATATCAAGAATAGAATTGATCAAAGAAGTAGATGCTGCCATAATTATATATCGATATATCTACAGATAATAAAAACGGAGATTGAATCAATGTCAACATTCCAATTTTCGCACAGAAACCACATTCGGTGAAATACATCTATTCGTTCGGTCGTAACTGATCACGGGTTGCAAGGGGATCATGAGTTCGACTGGGAGAACGTTATAATTTTGAATGAATCTCATAGAAAGAAATTGGTTTCGAAAATGTTGTTCATCAGAAGACAGACATGGTCTTAATTTGCAGACAGATATGGAGGGACTTCCCAAGACTACTTTCCAATTATTGACAAGTTATAAATGTCGATTTATTTTGATTTTCAGTCAGCCAATGTCGTTCTTTCATTATAACAGAGGTTTTCTATCTATTAACTATTATATTGGTTGTTATTCGATTTCCATTTTCGTAGATCATAAACAATCTAACTTTAAAATTTTAAAATCACAATTATATTTTTAAAGAAGTATTTACGTTTTAAGATAAAATTGATTAATCAACCGGTCAAGAACTAGTTTTTGACTAAATAATTTGTTATTGACTAATTAATTGTTTGCGATATAGTTGACTACTGTCATGATGAGTTTCCTTCCTTTTACTGTGATTTAAATTCTTCGAAGTTGTTTTTTCCATAATTCAACTCTGATAATTTTTTATTATAATTTTTAACATTTATTTATGTTTCATTTCAATATTGAGGTTCTTTTAATGAGATCATCATAACAAACAACAGTCATTACGTATATAATGTATTTATAACATTAATTTATTTCTCTGAAGAGAGCTCAAAAATGAGTCAAAACATGTAAGCGCGTTAATTTAATAAAAAATTTTGTGTTACATTTGTATATTATTTTGCACGATTACCACGTCCTATTTATCCATTTTTCATTTAATTTCTTTTGATCAATAAAGAGTCCTTATAAATTAACTTGTTTTATCATATGTTTTATTTTATGCAATAATAAAATAATATTATGCGGTTTATTTCATTTTAGAAATAATCTACACAATTGTGTTATTTTTATTAATTTAAAAAAATATTATACATACAGATAGTCTTATTGACTAGCTCTCAAGCAACTATTTTATTACTTATATATGTACTTAAAGAACATCTCAAGAAATGTATATATTGTTCTTTGATTATACTGGATATTCAAAATAAAGCATTACAAAATAAAGCATACAAATTTTTATTTTCTCAGAAACACGGCATTATTGAGAAAAATTATTTAAACAAAAATTATAGAGTTCAAAAAGATCTATTTATTGATATTATCAGTTTGACCTTGGGTCAAGTTTCGTCGAAGCGCAATCGCACACGGATATGGGCTCATGCCTTTGATACGATGGCGGCTCGACCACTGCTTGCCGCCATATCCCCTCTACATGTCATAAAATGTCATAATCGAATTGGAAATGACATCACTGGGTCCTGCACTATCAAGGAATAAAAATAAAGAATAGGAATAAGAACAGAGAATATATAAGAATTTCAATCAATCAGAAATAACATATGCACAATAGAATACACAATTTCTGATAGGTTGAAATTCTTATTCTATTCTTTGACTTGCGTAGTCCATTAAAGTCCTTAATTTATAAAATTCCAATCATTAATGAAGATACGCTATACCAATGCATCTTTGATACTTGCGCACTTTTCTTAATTGTCCCGATGATCTTTGAAAGAGTTTACCAAGTGTAATTGAATCAAATGAGAGTTATACTTCAACCATTTGTTATAATTAAAATAATATTAAATAATAATAAATATTACTTTTTTTATTTTTACCTATTAATAAACATTTTGAGTTGTATCTCAACAATAGTGAG